CTGCGCCTGTGAAAAAATCTGCATATTTCAGTGTTAATCCTACTTTAGAATTTATAAAATAAATTATTTACTTGACACGGCCCTAGCGTGAGGAAACAAAGCAAAGAAAAATGAATCTCAACATTTAAAGTTGAAAAATTGGAAGCTCTTGCAACGGGCGACAGCAGCTTGGCCAATTGCAGGCCCACGAAATATAGTTGGCGTCTATTGTTTTTATTCGTAGCGAACAACTGTTGTCGGGCTTTAAGGCCGCTTTGTCACATGTGTGCGCTGACATAGCACAAAATGAATCGCACTTGATTGTGGCAGGCACCAGTCGCAGTCGCCAGGTAGCAGGCAGCAGCATCAAGCAACCAAACTCAAGCGAATTGCCAGTGCAAAGTGCATCGTTAGCCAAAATTTACGTGGCACCTTTACACACGGCTGCCAAAAACAAGGCAGTGCTCGCACAAGTCTGCCCACCCCCGCCTCTACCATTATACATTTTATGCTGGTGAATTATGAATGGCATCTTGGCCCACACATATACACGAATACACCCACTGAGGAGCTCAACTTTTTGGTCTTTTGTTGAAATTTATTTCAAAGTCAGCTGCACAAAATGTACTCGCTTGTGCTTTTATTATAAATTCATATGCGTCGCCGATTAATTCAGTTTCTTTCACATTTTTTCCATCCTTTTTGCTGCATACACTCCTTTTTTTCTACCTTAGATATTGCCCCATTAGTTATGCCGTTTTTAATTTGGTGCGCTTACTGCACGTGCCAACTGTCAGGCGGGGCTAAATGGGAGCAATGTCTGCCATTTGAGACAATAAGCCATTTAAGTGCCTTGTCTCAATTGCACTAAATAAAAGGCATTCAACACAGAGGTTATAGGTAAAGTACAGCTGCCTTCATCTCAAACTTCATTTTTTGGTACAAATTTCTATGAGAAAAGAAAGTTTGGAATCATTCAGGTAATTAACTTGAAAAAGGTTATTTAAGATACTTATTTCTAGAACGTCTAGAAAGCACATCTCAATTCACAATTCAGTCATGAGCATTAACAAGCAGCATTTTAAGAATCTAGGCATTATTTATATTAACTTAGTAGATCTCAGATACAACTATCCCTACTTTCTACCTCTAGCTTTAGAAAAAAATGTGTTTAGTTTTCTAAAACTCCTCAGGGAACTGTACTCCGTATTGCTAACAGAGTTTTAATAATCCACCAGAGTGTGATTTCCATTAGGATAAGAGATTCAGATAGCTCGAATTTGGATTACATTCTATTTGGGAATCATTGTAAATCATTACTCCCCGCATTCTCATTTCCCCAGGGCATTTGCTGGTGGGCCACTCTTTTTTCTGTATTTTTGCTTTCATTTTAACAATCAAATAAAAATCCAATGTAATCCTTTGGCAGCCAAGCGCAAAAGGGCACCCAAATTGGCAACACAGAAAGTCCCATCAAATATTTTCCATCTTAGGCCGAATTTTTCGCTCCTCCATTTCCCATCTTTGTCTTTCAGCGAAGACAATTGATTTTTTTTGTCTTGGCAAACGTGTCTTAATATTGTCACTTCCGGTTTTCCAGCAATATTCATTATTAAGCAAACATTTTCTGCGCTTGCCATATGCAATAATTTTTGGCTTTCTATGCATAATCGTATTGTGTTTCATTAGCAGCTCAACAGCACATAAACACGCAACCGGAAAACTCTCCAATATACAGATACACCCACACACTCTATTAATCTCAATGCTCTTCAAATAAAAAGTAATAAAAGAAGCACAGAGGATAATGCGATTTTAATGGCAATGAGTTTGGCTTTTGTGCTCTTCAACGTATTTTTAGCTTTTCGCAAGTGCAACTTTTCTTTATTTTTCTTTATTTTTTTTATTACCATTGTACGGTGAGAGCAGATAAAAATGGTTAAACTATATTATTTATTTTTTGAATACATAAAAACTTCTTCAGCCTGAAGTTTATTGGCGAAGCTGGGTGGCAACTGTGTAAAAAATGTAATTAATTTTTCACCACCAACGGATGGGTTAGGGAAAATTTAAAAAGCATGTAAACAAATTATGTAGGTGAAAGTGCAAGAAGCAGGACGAGCATCCTTGTTGCGCTGTTGGCAGACAAGCGGCAGGCAGCAGACAGAGGCAGCCCTTGTTAACGCCCACACGTGTTGATTAAGCGCATTCATTTGACTTTATTAAGGACTCGGGCACGCCTGGCGAAAGTTTAAGTCAGGCGCCTGACAGGGCAGAGCCTAGCAGGTTGTGCCAGATTGCAATTAAGAGTCAGGGGAGGCCCACTTTCTGTTGCCAACATTCATCTGGCCAACTAGGCAACTCTTGCTCTCGACAACAATTTTAATTTTGTGTAATTATTCAAATTTAAGCCGAAAACTTGTCAGGCTTCTGCTATTTCTTGCTGTTGCTGTTGGTGTTTTTGCTGCTGTCGCGATCTCGCGTGCTTCATTACCAGGCAAAGACACTCATACACACAAACACACACGCATAATGATTCTCCAGCGAAAATGTTGATGGCACGTGACTACTCATAAGCCATTAGCCGGCCATGCGCACAAAAACCTGAGCTGACAACTTGGTCCAGCTACCTGCTGCTTGTTGTTGTGATTCCTTGCAGACCAACAGTGACCAGAACAGTTTGTATTGTCGTTGGTAATTGTTGACTAATTGAAGCGGGCTACGGCCAGTGGGCAATGATCAAAGCATTGCCCGGAGCAGCCAATTCATAGCCTGACAGTCCCAGTCCCAGTCACAGTCAATTCGTGTCAAGTAGTGCCGTGTCCAGTGATTTAGAGCGCCGTTTAGTAGTTCGGACATGTGTCCTGTCCGTGGTTGCTAATGAGCTGCAAATCGTGCCAACTTGCGTACGTGGTAAAGCCCTTTAATGCCAGAAAGTCATCAGACGCTTCAGAGATTCCTTGCCCAGATCTACCTTAACATACGAGATAACTCACGCCAATTTTAAATCGCCTCAACACATATATATATACATAAGCAAGGCAGTGGCTAGCTTCTCAATAAGTGTATTTGCCTCTTCCAATGTTCAAGCCGCTATCTCATCCATAGTTTAAACCGCCTCCTCTTTTGCTTAAGCTACCGTCTCCTTTAATAAAGACGCTGCCTTCTTTAAAGTTGAATCCGCCTTCTCCAATGTTTAAGCCGCCTCCTCCTCCTTAATAAGCAGGCTTTTCATACATACATACATACATACATACATACATACATACATACATACATACATACATACATACATACATACATACATACATACATACATACATACATACATACATACATAAATACATACATACATACATGCATACATAAATACACACATACACACGCGGGCGGGAACTGCCCAGCTTGAAACGTGCGCTGGTGCACTAGTTTATGATAATCAGATAATCATATACACAATATTTCTACATAACTAAATTATAGATAACCTAATTAAATAATGAAAAGCTCAAATTAGCCAAATCTCGCAAAATAATCACAAATTATTAAAAATTTGTAGTTCCTATGTATTTTTGATAATTTAAATATGAATTTAAATAGTAGAAACACGTTTTTACAGCTGAGTGCCACTTAATTTACCCTGTACCATTGAAAATAATAATGAACGGTAGCTTAACAAACATTTTAGCAGGCATAACAGCCCACTACCATAAAGTATGAGTTCTTGATAATGGAGTGTGAGTTTTTCTTTCGGCGTTTCTACGCTCAAACATTAAAGGAGGCTAGGAATTTAAATATTGTAGTAGGGTCGAACAGGGCGAAATGAAGAGTGCCGCTTTCAAAACGGAGTTTTTGGAGCGTAACCCATAGACAGGCACGCCCAAATAAAGCAATGATACATATTCTTATTAAAGCAAATAATGCGTAAAAACCAGCTTATTAATTTATGCATTTGATCATTATCCATGCCATATAAAAATGATATTTTTAATGTTCAATGCACAGTACAAAAACAATATGTAGATAAAAAAGCAATCGAATCAATTGATTTTCTGAATTAAATTTTGCTAACGGTCATTTGGCAGGATTTTGTTTCAATTATTCTCTTCCATTTAGGCCATGTAGTCAAAAACACACAGCTATACATTCATTCATGCACATGCACACAAAAACAGTCACTAGTTCAAACAAAGCTGACAAGCAAAATGTTGCTTTGGTGCTTTAGCTTTTGCTTTCACTTTTTATTTGGATTGGGGTGGGCTCGATTTGGCTAGTTTGAGTTTGGTGCGGTCAATGAATTGTTATGCAAATCAGCGCATTGGCAGAAAATCAATTAACTAAGGTAAACACGCGGTGTAACCAGCAACAATGAGACCAAAACCAGACCCTGGTCGAGCTCCTTTTGCAACATGTGAGCCTGTCAAATGCTTTTGTGGGCTTAAAATTAATTAAAACCCATTAAGCCGCATCTTTGGGGCTGACAAGTATTTTGGTAATACATACATACTTTGAAGTTTTGCTCACTGCCAGCTCACAGGACAAGAATTAGAGCCTGTAAACGTCAAGCATTAGGGCAGAGCAACCGCCCAAAATTGACCCAAACTGCACAAGCACACATACGCATTAATTGTACAATGGGTAAGGCATTTGAGATGGTTATGTGAGAGATGGGCAGGGGCGGGTGAGTGTGCGGTTATATATATGGCATGACTGTCATTTGCTTTATGCACGCTGTAATATTCATGATTGTAGTTAACAAGGACAATTATGATTGATTTATGTTCAGGGTTATGCGCGTGCCATCGTCCTGGCCATTAGTTTAAGCCACGGCAACAGAGCAACTAAGTTGAACTTTATGTCAGGTGGCTTAAGATTAAAGTTGTCCATAATGCCAGCCATACATTAAACACAGCCATCATTTTAAGACAATGTGCTCATAAAAATTATGACTTTTACTAGGCCTCAAGACGCAGCATAAAACTTTGAGTACCTCGTTAAATGTCAGGCCAGTGCAAGACCACATGATAGCCCCAACTATGCTGGTACTGAACACACGAACTAACACTACGAGTGTGAGTGTGTGAGTTGGTATATTTAACTTTTAACATAAACATAACATTTAATTAGATTGCTCAAACGCCGCGCACGACGCCGTCGCTGCTTTAAATCAAATGCTACGCCAAAACTAATGTACATTTTGCAGCGCGTAGCTCCTGCTACGAATACTCCAAACTTAAGGGTAGGTGTTTTGGAAAGGTGTTAGCTAATAAGCCTTTATTGTCTTAACTTTATTATTGTCTATGTAAATATGAAGCACATACCGAAGGCATGTGAAGTAGAACTTGTTGGCACAGTAAATTAAACAATCGAAAAGATAGAAATTGCATAAATTACTCAACACTTTGATATGCTACTTTACTCGTGTAAGTATAAATTGTGAAATTAGCATCGTCTTTCTCTCTGGGGTCGAGGGTTCATGTAACGCAACAACTCTTGGTCATCAATTCTCATAATCGCTTCAGGATTACTTTTCAAATATTTGCTCACTAATCCCAGAGGTTATTGGCCTTAATTAGTATAATATCCTAGCACACATATTCTCACACGCACACTGACCTGTTTAATTTGTATATAAATGTTGATTATTTCTTTTATTTCCGGTTCTCTTGGCTAGTTCAATTTTTGCCAACCGCTGTGCACATTTTAATCCGATTGTTTTCAATTATTTCTAAACCTGTTTGGCTGCCCTGCTGTGCGCTCTGTGGGTGTCCTGGCGCCCAAGTCGCTCGTTATGCATAATTAAATAAGAGCAGCAACAATAACAACGGCCACAGCAACGTCAGCCGGAGCGAAGGGATTATTAAAATGTTTACGTGCAACATTGGCCAGTTGTGTGGAAACTAAAATAACATCAGTTGTTTCCACTCGCATAATGCGATTTTAAATGCATGTCCGTACACATTGCATTGAATGTTGCTTGCCATTCCTAAATGCTATTTATAATTTTCGCGGCATCTAAGCTAAAAGCCGTGACATTTATCGGCACTAAAGAGAAGCCGTTGGCCTTTAAGAGGCCAGGACAACCCTTTGGGGCGGATTTAAAATTGGGGCGACCATGTCGTTTGCCACAATCGATGTCGTTTATCTTCTGATTTGTTGCCAAACGAAGCAAAACAAATCACTTGGTCGAACGACTGCTACTCCGGCTGGCAAACTAACAACTATGCGTACATAAGCTACATGAAAACTGAGCCTCGCGAAGGAGCTGCAGCTTTAGACGTAGCTGCTGCTTTGACGAGATTTCCACTGCGACTGCTGTTGGGCATTGCAAATGAATTGTTCCCATTTTTCAGGCATCGTTGGCGCATGGCGAAGTCGCTGCGATTCGCATAGCCGGCAATAAAGACAACAAAAAAATGGCAGCAAGGACAAAGGCGAACGCAAAGGAATTTGGTAGGCATCGCACCGCCTTGTGTTAACAATAAGAGCACGCCCCAGAAAAAAGGTACAAATGTTGCTGAAATTTATTAGCACGCATTAACCAACACACATCCACACACACGCACACGAAGCATGCAAGGACAAGGATATGTGAACATCCATGTATTCCTTCTCATATAGCTTTCACAATTGTTTTGTTTTCCTGGCGGGGAAGCTTCTTGCCCTTTTTTATTATGCGCTGTCGCATATTCCATGCCTTGAAGTTAATCAGGATTTGTGTTGCCTTTTTGAGATAAATTAATTTGTGATCTGACTTTGGGCAACTCCATTGAAATTTGCATAAATAACATTTGCCGTGGATTGCATGTAAATCTCAGCAGGAAACATAAAAATTCTATAGCCTGTCAAATGAAACAGGGCTTGGGGCAAGTAAAATTAAACTCTGCACTCGATAAGCAGGTCAAAAACACGCCCACACGCACACAAGAAAACTACAAAGCATTATTATTTCAGCACATTAAGCTTGGTTTATGGAAGAAGCTAGCGGAATGTTAGCACACATTGGCACCATTTGTCACTCAGTCAATGGTCGCAGGCAAATAAACTTCCCATATACTCTTTCTAGTTCAACCATCTGGGAAAACCGACTGCTATATGAAGTTACCTACACACAGCAAGTTTCTAAATTTGCTGAGATGTTTGAATTCGACTTATTAAGGGCCAAAATAGAGATTGACTTTATATCCTTGCAACTCAGCACCTACTGACTCCTTCTTGCCATGTCCCTTAATCCACCTGAACATGTTTTAATTAGCGAGTCTTCAGATTTGGTGATGAATCTACTCCTTTTGAGAGAACAGATTACGTTTTTATTGATAAATTTCCCGTGTTCCTATAATTATCAACATTTAGGCTGCACTATATAAAACAGCTAACATAGAAAATAAAAGGCAAAATATAATTTAAATATGAAGCACCTTTGGCTCAAGTCAATCAAGCTCAGCAATAACTATACTCCTAACATTAGATCAAGATCGGTAGAAAAACGAGACAGTTAAGTATAGAAATATAGTACACATTTGCAGATATATATCCTGCCCGACTGCCCAGAGAAAACGATTTTTCTTGTTTTTTTCTTTATAAATTGCATTTGGATTTTGCAATGTTTATGATACACATTGAGGCCAAGGCTCGTAAATCTGAAAACCGACAATTGCCCATTTTGTGTTGGCATAAAAATTCTCCAAGAGCAGGCTCGTAGCCAATCAATAAAACATTTATTTATATATTAGTTTGAGTGGTCATGAAAATGCAACAATATATGATGAGTCTCCAGTTCAGCCTAATTAATATATATGTAGGCATCTGCAAATCTTGTACAAGATAAACAAAACATTAACTTTAAGTGTTTCCTATAGGATTTACGGCTTGCAACTCGGTAAATAAAAGTAAAATGTGGCAAGCCACAAGCAGCTAAAACACAGAAATAAAAATGCCAAAGAAACTTCCACGGAAGTGTCACTTGGAGAGTCGATTGGCTGCAAGTCATGGCAGAAGCTCCAAACTGCGAGTCGGTCTGTTGCTGAGCATGTATTTATGTAGCGATAAAATTAAATTTATTTTAACGCCGCACAAGCCCACAAAAGTCGCACATCGCCCCGGACATAGCCATTCCCAGTGCTTGTGGGCGTATCATGTGCTCACATAGTCAAACATTATCGCGAACTTAGTTGCTCGTTCAAAACTTAGATGCCAATGCCCGGCTACGTTTGTCTATCCTTCCTCTGCAGCGGTTGTGGGCGGAAATCGCTTAAATTTGCCGTAAAAGATGCGAAAGATTTCACAACACAGGCAGGAAAAGCACCTGCGATAAAAGTTTCTACGCCATTTTCCACTTGCCTTATATCACATTCCGTGTGTGCAACTCCCTCTGCCTGACACTATTTCGTTGGGTTGGGTCAGCAAACGCATGAGTCCGACACTTCCCTACTGGCCACAGGCTCCTAGCAACGAAGTTGGCTAATGCAACCCATAAACAAGCTGACAAATGCAATGCAATGGCGAATGGAATTCACGTCTGTAATAACACCAAGCGGGCGCAGCTATTTTAATCAACGCTCACCAGACAATATGACAACGCATTGCAGACACAAATGACAACGATTTAAAGACCATCATTTCGAATGAAGTATTAGGCTTGAAGAACTGTATCTCCCACCAATTTGTAGAACGAGAATCCTTCAAAAATAGAAAGAAAAGTTATCTTCGGGTGATGTATGCTTGAAATTCGGTGGTAAGTTAAAAAAATTGCGAACTTATATACAAATTTCATCTTCCGACAAATTGTTTTATATAGGGTCTAAATTATATAGCGGCTTGATAATACTTATTATATTGAGCACATAAGTCTTAATGTCTTGATTAGATTAGAGTTATTTTCTTGATGCACAACCAAGTGACAGATGTTTTATAAACTTTCATAAGTTCTTTGCGAATTATATATAAAACTGTATATAGTTCTTAAAAATATATAATACGAACTGAACTTTCAAACCTATTTAAGCACTCTAAATTAATGCATACAATAATAATTGGATATATTGCTAAGAAACTGCGAGCATTATCTTTTGTACTGCTAAATAACAGTTTATTGTTGGAAAAGCACAATATTTGAATACAACATTATTGCTTTTAAGTATACCTACAAGCCTGCAAAACTTAATAAGACCAAGTATATGCACATATATTTGGTAATTATTTATTAGCAGTCTTTGCTTTGAGCCCAAGCAGTCAATTATCCAAATGAGCATAATTGTTGTGAAGCGTGATTATTCAATGACAATTCCGCAGCGAACTCGTACAGTTGCTCTTCCAGTGCGCATGAGAAGGGCGTAATTCGGAGAGCTTATCGCATAGTAATGCACGTTTATGGCGTTTATGGCCGAAATAGTAGCTATTAATTAAAAGTCTTAATATGGTATTATATTGATTTTTTGTGTTTAGATTGATGAGCTTAACGGCAGCGGGCTTCGCTTTATGGTAATTGCCCGCGATAAGCTGATAGTATACGAACAGCGCAGCGGTCCGTGCGTGACTTATAAATATAAATAGGATCAATGGGTTCCTGGTAGTACGCCAATGACAGGCGATAAGACAGGAACCCCGCGTGGCTCCTTCCAGCAGGAGCAGGAGCAGGAGCAAGAACAGAAGCGAAAGCAAAGCCCGGAGCACCACAGCTGGCTAAGTCGTTGTCGCAAGAATAAGCCGCAATGGAATGCGTTGGGCGCTGGCTCGCTCATCTTTGTTTCAGGCGGCATGAGCCTGGCCTGGGGCGCTGGCTTTGCGGCACAATCCATGCATATGGAACTGCTCACACTGACGCTGCACATGCAAATCTGTTGGTATGGAGCGGCGCTCCTTGGAGCCGCATTGAGCGTCATATTGACACACCGCACACCACAGCGACCCGTTTATGTGAGTATCGATGGATTGATAATTGGTGGTGCAGCTGAGGGTACTAAACCTATTGACACGATGTTATCAATAGGTGTTCAGCTCATGCCTGGTGCTGATCTGTGGTGTGCTCTTCCTTACGCTGCCTGAGCGACCAAATGCCATTATTGCAGCACGCTACTTGGATGGATTTGCCAATGGCTTGGTCTTTGTTCCCACTCTGACTACTGTGGGCGAGCTATCTGTTTGTGAGATGCGCGGCGTGCTAGCCGCTGCCGTGGAGCAGTTGAGCTACAATTTCGGCATCTTCATCCTCTTGTTCTACACGGCCATCTGGCAAAGCGGCTGGAATGTGACTATTGTGGCCGATCAGGTGCATGGCCTACTCAGCATCATATATGGTGTTGTGGCACTCGCCTTGGCACTGACCTGCTGCATCGAGTCGCCCGTGTATCTGCTGCTTCGCCGCAACGAGCAGGCTGCAGTGGATGCACTGCGTCATCTGCAGCGCCCATCGGTGGTGACCAGCGAAACATTCCTGCTGTTAGATGAGCACAAACGCTACGTAGCTGCCAATCGGGATCTGAGTTGGAGTCAGAGCATACAACGCGGTCTGGTGCCGTTGCTGAAGGTCGCCGCACATCGTTCACTGTATGCATTGAGCATGACTCCCATCATATGGAGCGCTCTGTTCGAAACAGCAGTGGAACTAACACCTGAGTTTCACACATGGCCCTATGTGGTATTTGGCACTTTGCGCTTGAGCGGCTGCATCTCTGTTGTCTTCCTAATGGACTCCGGTGGCCGAAAAAAGCCGTCGCTGTTTGGCACCTTTGCTGGCGGTGTCTTTGCCATTGCCTTTGCCACATTATTCCAGCGTTTACCTCGCATGATCGCTGCTTTGTCCCTCTTATTTTGTTTTCAGTTTTTCGCGGGCGTGGCGTATGCAGCTTCCGCTGTGTACCTGACCGAGGCTTTTCCATTGGCAGTCAAACCGTATTTTGTTGCGCTCGTATATGCCCTTGAGTTGCTGATTAGGCTGGGCTTTTGCAGTTATACGCCAACGCACTCGGGCATATCCATCTATTTTTATATATCGGGTGGCATATCCTTAACCTTCTTCTTGCTGGGCATCTTTTGTTTGCCGGAGACGAGGCTGACAACGCTTGCAAAGGGTCATTTTAAGATTCGAAAGTGGTTCAATGAAGATTTCTGATATAAAAGCATATTACTAAACTTAATAAAGCGCGTATTTGTTAAAAGCTCTCCATCAAAACACCACATAAGAAGTGATTCAATTAAAAATCTTAATACTAAACGACCTGAAACCTTACTAACTATAGTTAAATATTTCATGCAACCCTCAGCCGCATGAGCTCACGTTTAGTAAATACTTGAGAAGTCGAACACCGCAATAAATGCCTTAATAAATTTGATAAAAGTGTTTCTCGGATATACTAACCTGCCATAACCTGTCATGACTCAGTTACCTAGAATTTACTGCTAAATAATCACAAACAAAATAGCAAAATTATTAATCGCTTTTAATAAGGGAAAGCACATAAGCAGACATCTAATAAATTAGCCATATTTCAAGTATTAGTTTGGTCTTCATGTCCCGTCTTAATCAAAGTTTATGAACAGCCTGATAAGCTATGTTATCACCAATTCACATTTAAGAACGCGCGTGTGATTTTGTCCATGGTTCGCTTATCGCAGCAGCGATAGGCGTTTATCTAGCCCCCCTATCAATTTACCAACGAGTTTTACCAACGAAAAGTTACAAAAATGACTTGACCGTGAGTTTGAGCATTCAGTTACCAACAGGTTGCAGTTAGAAACTGTTGAGGGAGTGGATCACCAAAACCAAAATGAACGATAAATATTTGCCACCTGATCCACCGTCATATGGCTTCACATCGGCACCACCGGGCAGTTCACAAAACTATCCACCACAAGGTTATCCGCAGCATGGTTATCCACCACAAGGATATCCACCACAGACATCTTATCCACAGCCAGGGTATCCTCCCCAGAATTATGTACCACCGCCACAAAACTTTGGGGCACCACCTCCACAGAACTATGGATCACCACCTCCACAGAACTTCGGCCCACCACCCCCACAGAACTATGGACCACCACCGACACAGCCACTGCCGTCCTCCCCAATTGTGGTGCAGCCCACTGGCTGGTATAACCGAAACCAAAAGAACAAACCACAATCAAATGCCGCGGGCGCGGGTATGTTTAACCACTGAGAATTAGTCAGCTGGCCATAAAAAGACCTGCTGTCGATAAGATAGTCCCTGTCAATCAGCTTTGTAGTTCGCTGACGTGCAGGTTTTGCCCGCGCCTGTCAGTGATCAACTGATTGATCAAAAATGTTCCTGCATTAATTTAAATTATAATTCTATTATTTTAGCTGCACTCATCTTTCTATCGGGCGGCATGAATATAGCGTGGAGCATTGGTTTCCACAATTTTTATGTTCAATACCTTCCTGTACACACGCGCGTGGCTTGGTTTATTGGCGCCATCATTGGAGGAGTATTCAGTTGTTTTCTGGCAAACAAATTGCCAAAGAAAGTTGTTTTGGTAAGCATACGGAATCAGTTCCACACCGCAGCTACTATTTTCTAATGCACTGCATCAATTCTATAGTGTTTCTGCTCACTTCTGGTTATGATTGGTGGAATTGTGATTGCAAGCACTCGGTACAACATCAAAGCCATAGAGGCGAGTCTCTATCTAGATGGCATAGCCAATGGATTGGCATTTGCTCCCACTATGGCACTGGCCGGCGAGGTTTCAGTATTTTATATGCGGGGCGCAATTACCGCGTCCATTGAGCAAATGTGCTACACGCTGGGATTCTTTATTCAGATTATATATGTGTCATCCTGGTCCACGAGCTACAACTATAATAGCTTTAATGCAGAGCAAATGCATGGCGTACTGGCTGGCATCTATGGGCTGATTGGGCTAGTAATTGCTGGTATACTCTGTATTGAGTCGCCAGTGATAACGCTGGCCAATGGTGAAGAGCAGAAGGCTCTCGATTTACTACGCCGTCTGCAGCGGCCGTACACGATCACCACAGAGACATACGCGCAGCTGGAGGAGCACAAACGTTATCTGGCGCAGAACAAGGATTTGTCGACAAGCCAGAGCATTGTCCAGGCCTTGCCAGCTTTTGTAAGACTATGCTATCTGCGAGCCCTAAATGCCATGAGTTTTTCCACCTTTGTGTTTTACGCCCTGATAGTCTCCTTTACGTCCAGCTATTATCTAAGTAGTCTTACTTGGCGGTTTATTGCGTTCGGCGCTGCTCGCTGGCTGGGCACATTCATCAGCAGCTTTTGCATGGAGTCAGCAGGACGCAAGGGCCCAACGCTTTTTGGCCTCGTGGTCTGCGGTGGCTTGTCCTTTGGAATTGCTAAATTAATCGGTGACGTCTATTCTATTCACTACGCTGATGGAGATACAATCCTTGCCCTGCTATGCGTGTTTCAGCTCTTTGCAGGCATTGCCTCTACGGCCACCTCTGCCTACCTCTCAGAGGCATATCCACTGGGCGTTAAGCAACACTTCATTGCATCAACCTTCATAGTCGAAATGCTGGTCTTCATTATCATTTCATCTGTGAAGTACAGCATTCAAGGTCATGCCATTTTCTTTTACTTTTTGGGTGCCTTGTACCTGATTGGTTTTTTCCTGGGGATCTTCTGTCTGCCAGAGACCCGACGAACCACTTTACGTGAATCACAAGACAAATTTAAGGGTATGATAAGCATGGGCTTTTAATTAAGTAAATCTCATTACTTACATTCCCATCAGCATAACAACATTCATGATTAGGCGCTACTTTGAAGTAAATGGCTTTTATTATAATAAACTATTCCCATCCAATCATTCAATCAATGCAGCTATTTTTGCTGTAGCTACTAGAATTATCGTATATACTGCGCACATTATAGAACAGAAATGAAATATGCGACCTTTGTGCTTTATATCTGTATGTCATAAATTATAAATCAGCGTCTAAAAATACGACTTGAATAAAAACATACCGGTATTTCACCACAGCTGTTCCCTTAACATATTGATCCTTTTTTTGAAAGGGGAAGTACAAGCCGCTTTAATGTGTAAAGGGCTATAAATTACTTGATCGCTATATCGAAGAACCTATGCGAAGAGCCTAGTTTGACGCGATATTAGCAAATTTTATGGGCATGGTTATGCCAACCGCTCTTATCATTTTATATATGGTCTTATCAATAAGAGGGCGTAGGTGTACGGCCTTATCAGTTTTTCCAGCAAAGCAATAAAGCATAAATAACGCTTTGGTCAAAATTGTAAGCATTTAGTAGCAAAACGCACTCCAAAATAAAATATTCTCTGGATGCGTTACGAAAACAAAATGAAGAGCGATAAACATTTACCTCCAGAGGCACCTGCATATGGGTTCCCGTCTGCACCGTCAGAGGCACCACAGGACTGCCAACCTCCTGGTTATTCTCAACATGAATATCATAGGTACGATTACTCCCAAGCCACCCAAAACGTATTCCCACAGCAAACGCAGCCCCAACAGGTGTATACTCAGCACCCATACCCACCGCCGGGTTACGCACCACCGCTGCAAAGCTTTGGCTCCCTGCCTCAACACAACTATGGTCTGCCCGAGCCGCCACAACCACCACCGCAGAGCATAGTTCAAGTGCGACCCAGTGGCTGTTTCAACCGCGATAAAACCAATAGGCCGCAAATGAATGTCTTACGTGCAGGTAAGTTTCACCAAGCCACTGATAACAATACTTAAAAATAATTAAATCATTTGGCGATTAGCTACTTTAATATCTTCACTTTGGCCTAGTAGACTCTGTGGCTGTCCTATCCAAACCTATGAAAAGTAAAAAACTTATTTTGCGCAATTCACAGAAATTTTATACTCTATAAGAGTTTGCTGCATTTACATGTGACTTACCAGTTTGATATTTTTTCAGCTACGCTCATCTTCATCTCGGGCGGTATGAACATTGCCTGGAGCATTGGATTCCGCAGAACTGTTTACTCTTATCTAACAACGCATCTGCGCATAGCTTGGTTCATTGGTGCTATTATTGGAGCGGCAATTAGCGGCTTTCTTCCCAAGGTGGTCCCAAAGAGGGCGATCACGGTAGGCATATTTGCAAACTTGCACCACTGCACACTTTAACTCTATTTTCATACCTCTGGCAGCTATTTTGCTCGATGCTGGTGCTTATTAGCGGTATATTGAATGCCAGCACCCATCAAAATATGGATGCTCTGACGGCTGCTCTGTACTTAAATGGCATTGCTAATGGATTGGCATTGGCTCCAACACTGGCGCTTGCCGGGGAGTTGGCCGTCTTTTACATGCGCGGAAAAATTTGTGCAGCCACTGAGCAGCTGAGCTTTAACTTGGGCATTTTTTTGCAAATCTTAATATCCACCACATTGAGTACAAGTTATTATTCAGATGGTTCCAATCCCGAGCGCATAAATGGCATTCTCGCTGCAGTGTTTGGATTTCTTGGACTATGCTTTGCCACACTGCTGTTCATCGAGTCGCCGGTGGATTTATTGGCCAGTGGACAGGACCTTGAAGCCACCGATGCACTCCGTCGCCTGCAACGTCCCTATGTCGTGAATAGTGAAGTGTATGCTCAGCTGGCGGAGCACAAGCTTTATGTTGCCGAAAACAAGGAACTGCCACCTGAGCAAAGCTTTGTTCAGGCAACTCCAGCCTTTACAAAACTTTGCATACTTCGTGCTCTTAATGCCATCAGCATATCCAGCTTCATGTTCTATGCCGTGCTGGTAAGCGCAAGTACCTCTCACAACTATTGGGAGACGAGGTGGTCTTATATCCCATTTGGCGTCTGTCGTCTGTTGGGTAGCATCATAGCCTGCTTTTGGATGGACTCGATCGGACGCAAGAAGTCAACTCTTCTTGGGCTCGTCGCATGTGGGGGCTTGGCATTTGGAATAGCCAGTCAATTCCATCATCCGCTCTACAATGGAGTTACAATTATGCTAGATATATTTCAGTTATTTGCTGGCGTGGCTTTCGCTGCCTCCTCTGCATACCTGGCCGAGGCGTATCCATTAATTGTTAAACAGCACTTTATTAGCGTAACCTTCATTGTCGAGCTGCTGGTGCTTATTATCATATCCACTTGCGACATCACTAACGATTTCTTTTACGTTATCGGTGGCATCTACCCGGCCGTCTTCATATTGGCTATGTGGTGCCTGCCTGAGACACAAAGAACTACACTACGCGAGTCACAAAAGAAATTCAGAGGCTGCTTCTAATTTAGACGACAACACAATGCGTTGATATAAATACAATAATAAAAAATATATATGCGTAATATTATTTAAAGTTTATATCACGAACGGACTGTAATTTTGTTAAAGTATTGATTTAATGCATATCTGATAATGTGTCTTCTACTTATTTCCTGTAGCCATTGAAAATGTAAGTATAAATATGAATAAACAGAAAATAAAAAAATAAAAAAACAAGAAATTATGCAGCTTATTTCTGACCGCTTACTTCTAAAAATACTGTTCGATCCGCCTGACATATTTGCTGCCTGCAAAAAAAGGACACACTTTGCATACTGATAATTTTATATTCAATAACTCAAAATTTATAGTTTCTATAGAAGCTAAAAAGAATCTTGGTTATTAGTGAGTTTTAACAATAAATGTTGAGTCATAGTCGATACTGAAAACATTAAAACCTAAGAGTGTCAAAGAGCGCGCGTCATAGGCTCGAAGAGAGAAGAACAACTCGCCGAATGATAGAAAAAGAGAATATGTGTGTGTAAAATCGCACAAATCGCTAATATGAAATTTACATGAGATAACTATCAGCAAAACTATTATCAGCCCAGAAATACAAATCAAAATATCAACATACAAAAGGTAACAAATGCGTCTATCGAACGTGCCTGCAATCCAATATAAACATTCATAGATAAGTGACTGGCTAAAAGGTTGCGCCATGGCCACTGCCACTGATAACGATAGTAGCTGCGATCCTATGGACTCTAAGCGTTTATCAATCAATGCGATAAGAAACGTTTACTAATGGATAAGTCAAACGGAAACCTGTTCGACATAGAGTCCAAAATATTTTGTTTCGTGTAGTAGTCTCTTGTACCTCGACAAAGGTGGTCGTACACATAACCGACATGGAACAAAGGAACGAATATCAGCGAACGGCGTCACAATCCACAGTGGGATACTCACCACTGCCAGAGCCAAATCAGGAGCCACTCCCACAACGGCAACTACCATATCAAAGACCAGCCAGCTGCTGCATCCGTGATATGCGCAATCAGCCACAGGCAAATGCCTTGGGTGCCGGTAAGTATGAAGTAGGCATACTTATACCTTCCAATAAACCTTAAACAAAAGATAATCGAATGTACGGTACATGCATGCAAATTTTTGGAAGCACTCAATGGGTCTTATGCCTAGTAAAACTTTGATATACTTAGTAAAAAGATATATCAAAAAGTTTGAACAGTTCTTACAAGCTTTTAAAGCAACACGACCTGGATACTTAACCAGTTTTCTGAACAAACCGTCGACTCCAGTTAATAGCTATCAATCAGCAATCAACTCTGCTAATCCAATAAACAATAATAATGCTCCTCCTATTATAGCTGCTTTGATCTTCCTGTCGGGCGGCATGAACATAGCCTGGAGCATTGGCTTTGACAGCCTGGCAGACGAATTGGTGATCAGTACGCATCTGCGGATCTCTTGGTTCATCGGAGCCATCATCGGGTCTTTACTTGGCATTGTAGTTGCCAGGCACCTCACCTACAAATTACTCATGGTTAGTGTATGGTTTCATATAAAGATAAATATACTGATAAACATACCCTTCGGGCTTTTCAGCAACTCTGCTGCCTGCTCACAATCATTGGCGGTATTCTGTTCACTGCGACACAGCTGCAAGTTGAGGCTATGCTGGCTGCACGTTACCTTAATGGCCTAGCAAATGGGCTCGCGTTACCGTCCACGCTGGCCATAGCCGGTGAGTTGGCAGTGTGTTATAAACGGGGAACCCTGGCCTCCGTCACGGAGCAAATGTCCTGCACTTTGGGCATATTCATGCAGATTGTTTTCAGCGTCAGCTGGAGCCCGGACTCTGATCTGTCTGTGGACAAGCTGCAGGGCGTGCTATGTACCATATATGGTGCTAGTGCATTGTGCCTGGCCAGCATATTCATTGTAGAGTCACCAGTTCGTCTGCTGACTCAGGGCGAACAGGAGCTGGCCATCGATGCTATAATCCGCCTGCAGTATCCCAGAGCTGTCACGGCAGAGACCAACGATCAGCTGACTGAGCACACTTCTTATATCACTCATAACAGGACACTGGGAGCTAGCCAGGCCTGGTGTCAGGCGCTGCCTGCCCTCTTGCGCCTCTGTCTGCTCCGGGCCCTCTATGCCATGAGCACAAGCATGCTGGTCGTCTTTACGCTTACATTGAGCAGCAGCAGCGTCTATGGCCTAAGCAACGGGCCCTATGTGCTCTTTGGACTTCTACGTTTGGCCGGCAGCTGCAGCGGCGCCTTAGTTCAGGATACGCTTGGTCGCAAGATAACCCAGCTGATTGGTTTCATGATCTGTGGCGGTGCGTCCATTGGCCTAGCCAGCAGGTTTACGGATGTGGAGTTTGTGCGGCTTCCAGACTTGAAGACGGCTTTGTGGCTTTTGCTAATGTTCCAATTCTTTGCTGGACTTGGCTTCGCACCCAGTTCTGTCTACCTATCAGAGGCCTTCCCACTTTCTGTAAAGCGTATGTGCATCTCATTCGCTTATATTTTGGAGTTGACTGTACATTTGTCTATCTGCAACGTGGATCCCAGCGTGCACATTGATGGCGTCTATTTCTACGGTCTTGGAGTGTTCATGCTGCTGGGCTTCTTATTCAGCCATTGGTATCTACCAGAGACAAAGTTCTTGACGCTACGTCAAGCACAACAAAAGTTTCGCGACTTCTCGTGACCAGCCCAAAAGTAGGCGCACCAAGACTTTAAATCATTTAATGCTAGCTAAATTTAGGCAAATACCTTAGCTATATAAACAATATTTTTTGTACATACATTTATATATTAAACGACTGATAACCAATAATATCAGCAAGCTTTCAATACTCTTGCATTTAGTGTCTAATCAGCGCCCAATTAGCCGCTAGTCCACGTCTCTAATGGTTGCTATAAGAAGGCAATACAGTAGACGCTCCAAAAATCAAAAAGGTCTTTATTAAGTATATAAAGATTGCTTTAAATATAATAAACTATTTAACATAATACAAACTAACGACTAAATTTGTTTACCTCAAAATTCACATCAAACTGCACTAGCGGCACATACACCCAAAATTGAAGTTCAGGTTATAAGAACCTAAAAGTTAAAAGGAATTCAAAACGAGAGAGCTTGTAGGAATTAAAAAGATAAATCGTGAGAGGATGCAAGAGAGTTAAAAGTGACAGTGTGAGCAAATGTAAAGTAAAGTCGATTACATGAAAGCCAGTAAAGCTTGCATAGATTGTACTCATACATCGCTTAGAAGGCCAGTATTTATAAAAAGGTTATTTTTAGAACACATCGGTAAGTAAACTTAACTAAACTCTAACACCCACAACCCGCTCATGAATTTGTTTTAAAATGACCTTCATATAGTCAAAAGAAAATAATACTTTTTTCAGCCTTAGTCCCTAACTTTGCACTTATTGCGAGCGACCACTGTAATTAAGAAAATTAATCTGAATATATACAATATATAAGTGAAATGCCAATTGCTGATAACAGCTGATCAGCAGGAGGCAGCAGTTGCCCATATCAAAATTTTGAAATAATATTTGCTGAATCTCATCATAGGGTGTCAAATTTGATAACAGCTTACTGAAGGCCGAACTAAACACTTTAAATCGAAGGAATCCTTAAATTAAAAAGATGCTTTTCAAGACCCTTAAAATATTTGTTTATTTAATATGCTGTCCTTGCAATATTTAAGAATATTTTGTTCAGTGTAAAAATTCGCCTGGTAGTTATTGGCGTTTGTGTCCACTCTACCCACTTCTGACGCCTACTATTCAAATTTAATTAATTTATTTATATCCAGTAATCATATTGATAAGAGAGCGCGCAAAAACTTTTGTGTGTTTGCGTGTTTGTATTTTATTTATCTTATCAGAGCTTCGACGTTCTCGCCTCAAGCACTTCAGACAACTGTTGTGTGTGCTTTCCGTTTATCAACTGCACAGGCAACCGGTCGGTCAGGCGAACAGCAACTGCCCAGCTCTCAGAGGGCAAGTGTATAGAACAGCGCGAAATCAAGCCCCAAATAAAATGACACAGTATGTGAAAATGACGGCTACAGTCACAACAAGTGATCTATAACTTCTAAAGCATAAAACAATATATAAAACAGTTGCCAGTGACAGTGTGAAGCAAGCAAATAAATCAATTGACTAAAATTAATTGCAATCAAATATTACCAATATTGGCGAAAGGAATTCCAGAATGCCGCTACTGCCGACCATTGAGGAGGAGGGCAAACTGTCTTGGCTGCGTCTGATGTGGCGCTATCGCCTGCAGTTTCAGTCCCTGACCGCGGGTAAAAACGCATCCAGTCAGTGTGGGCAAAGCAACATATCCTGATCCCCCACTTTCCATATCTATCTATACTTCAGCTGCGCTCGTGTTTGTGGGCAGCGGCATGCGATTGGCCTGGTCCATATTTGACACGCCCGCGGGCAAGTTCCTGAACGACTACAATACACACAATCTGATGATGAGTTGGTTTATTGGCGCTGCTGTCGGTGCTCTGCTGGCTGCTCTGTTTGTTCAGCGCGTTACCAAAAACGTGGCCTTTGTAAGTGCTCCTGCAGTCATTAGCTGCTTATCTCACTTCCATAAACTGATAAATATTGAATCGCATTTGCCATTAGCCATCAACTGTGATAATCTTTCTGAGAGCTTGTTGCCTGCACTGAATTCGGGGATATACCACAGAAAACATAGCCCAGCTTGCGAATCCATTCTCATTACGTTCTTGACTCAGGTTCCTTTCAAAGGTGTTACAATTTTGCAAAAATGTAGTGTTCCCAGCTGAGATCAGTTCTTCGTCAAGAAGAGCATCAGAATATTGATTTTAATTTTTTAGAAATAAACTGCATTTCATACAAAATCATATGAAGAACATCTTGCCGAATAGTTCCTTTCAAATAGGTTTTAATTTTAGCCAGGTTGCCTGAACGGCCTTTGAATTTGAAAATCTTATCACTTGGCTCTTTATTTGCAGACCTCTAGCGGATTTCTGTTGCTTGTGGCTGGCATATTGAACTTGGCGCTGCCGCGTCATTTCATCTCCGCCTGCTACAGCAGCGTCAGCGTGGGCGCCGCCTACGGTCTGACCCAG